CCTCAAATAATTGAATGACTGCTAAACAGCTGACACAGGAGATTTGATCCATTGGCCAGCAGTGCACTGAGACTTGGGACCCTGTTCAAAAGGTAATATGGACCGACCAGATTCCTCTCTTGAAAGCCTGGAATTGGGAAATGAGCAGCTCGTCCTGTCCTCAGCAGATGGCAGAAATGACCAGTCCTGACACGCATGGTACATGGAGAATCGGAGGGTGCTGTGCTGGGTCTTGTGCACTTACTAAAGCAGAGAGCATGCAGTCAGAATCAGACGTGAAGGAAACTATGCAGTACTTAAGACCAGGAGAGACTGACTCTAGTTCCTGGTTTTTCTGGGATTTCTGCTCCTCATAACCAAAGGATTTATGGTTAGAACCCACTGCCTCAAGACTTCTGGTCCCCAGGGACCCTTGGTTAATCCTTCCCAGTGAGCCCAAGAGAAGAAAACAAGGTGCTCTTTGATGGGAGGAGAAGCAACAGGTGGTGCTGAGTGGATTTAAGTCATGACACGTGACCCCTGGGGGGCTTCCATCACCTTCACAGCCCATCCCCCAGGATGCTCCTGACCCAGTAGTCAAGGGGCAGCATGACTGCTTGAGGCTGAGCATCTCCAAGGACCAGGGATGCAAACAAAGGTTTATCTGAGTGTTCAGAGCGAGGTAGCAACCAACCCCGTATGCCAGGATTTCATGCGCCTAGGCTGGAATAGCAAGTCGCTTTAAATTATTATTTTACTTTAAAAATTATTTATATTTAATAATAATAATTTAAATAATTAAATGAACAATGATTTAAATAATAAAAATTTAAATTCTTTATATTATTTTAAACATTTTTATAGTGAAATTCTGGTATTCAGTAATTCCAATGATTCACTGACAGAAAAGAATGATACTAATATGATAATGGCATTAAAATAATGCTTTATGTTTCACAAAGGCCTTCTGCTTAAGTCACCTCACTGGATCCATGCCACAACCCTATATCCAATTGGCTTTGCTCATTTTATATTTTGAACTTCCTTTGATCCTATCTCCCTCTGTTCTTGTATTTTTACTCCCTTAAGAATAAACTTCAATGTGCAGAGCCTTGCAAAGTTACACTAAGAATGTGATTTTATTGTTAAGCTAAGTATAAAGCTATGGCCAAGATTTGAGCAGGAAAGAAATGTGTTTAGATCTGTGTTTTGAAAGCGTCACCTGGCTACAGCATGGACAGTGGACTATGGAGGGAAAGGATGGAGGCAGGGACATTAGGAGGGAGGCTGCTGTAAAAGGGTGCGGCAGAGAGATGATGGTAGCTTGGACAAGGTCCTAGGACTGGGGATGAGGGAGGAAAGAGAATAGTGCGCGAGTATGTGACCTAAGCAACGTGGGGATGGTATTTCTACGATAGAGGATTAAGTGACTTCCAAAGAATGTCCAGATTATGCCGCTTCAACTATTTTTGAAGGAATATCTACTTTTACTCTGCACAAGCACCAATAATATAAGAATAAGAGTGATAAAGAAGATTTTTGATAAAGAAGTCACTCGTTAGAGCTGTCCAGTGATGCTCAGCTTCCGGTGCCTGCAGAAAGGGTGTGACAAGTCTAGGGTGCTGACTTTAAAATATACTGCTTGAATATCTTTATCCAGGGTTTGTCTCAATTCCAGGATTAAACCTAGCAGAACGTTTATACCACCATAAGAATAGAGAGTCTTGGAAAAGGGATAGAGCCATCATTCATACTCTCCCTTTTATTTATTACAGAATGTGAGCCATATAGCCCAGTATTCTATGGCCAATCTAATGATTATGAGTCTTCAATGTATAAAAAGTGGGGAAGACAGAGAGACTGAATAAATTATTTAACTGGAACAATTCAGGTTAAAATATCTAAATGAAAACCGGGAGAAAGAGACAGGGAGCTAAAAGAATGCCAGCATCTTAAATTTTTGTAATTTCAGAAACTCAAAATGCATTTTTATATTCAGACTATAATTCACTTTAAATGACATAAAAAGATAGCTTTTGTAATCTTTTTTAATTTTAAGAAATAAGGTCTATAAATTATATAGGATTATATTGCTCATAATAACTAAAAGTTCAAGTAAACTGCCTCATTGAAACGTAAGTTTGAAAGGTTAAGACATCATCCCGGACTTTCTGTACAACTGAACTGGATGTGATTGTCTAGATATAATTGCTATCATTGTTTTAAAAAATGGAAGTTCCCATAAAGACCGAAAAATAAAATTATCTAGATGGTAGGAAAATTAAAAGACAAGCTATTAACTGGGAGAAAATATTTGCAAATAACATTCTGATAAAAGACTTAAACCCAGGATACATTTTTTAAAACTCTCAAATTCCATAATGAAAAACAAATAATCCAATAAAACATGGGCAAAAGATTTGGATAGACACTTCCCAAGAGAAGATATATGGATGGCAAATAAGCACCAGACGTGATATACAATATCATTAGTCATTAGGGAAATGCAGATTAAAACCACAATGAGCAATCACTACACGCTCCTTAGAATGGCTACATTGTAAAGACTGGGCATTCCAAGTATTGACAATAATGTGGGGGAACTGGAACTCTCACACACTGCTGGTAGGCACGCAAGATAATACAAGAACTACGGAAAAAGAGTTTAATAGTTTCTTAAAAAGTTAAATATACACTTGCCACGTGATCCAGCCCAAGAGACATGAAGCCTAAGTCCACGTAAACATGTGGACACAGATGTGCGCAGCAGCTTTGGTTGTAATCGCTCTAACGTGAAAACAACCACATGGCAGAATCTAAAATAATTATTCCGAGAGAAAAAGCCAGACAGAAAAAGGACACATGGTGTTATGAAATCCTAGAAAATTCAGGCTTATCTAATCAGTGACTGAAAGCTGACAATGGTTTCATGGAGATGGTAGGGGGATGGGGAGGGCCAGGAGGGATGAGTTACAAAGATTCTGGAGGGTGAGGGATGTGTTCATTATCTTGATTGTGGTGACGATTTTATGGGTGTATACATATGTCAAAATGTATTAAGTTACACATTTTAAATTTTGCAGTTTGTTATATGTTCATCATACCTCAATAAAGCTGTTAAAAAAAAAAAACACATGTGGTCAGTATCTGTGGTCTAAGTGGAGCCTGAAGAACAATCAATGTTTAACCACGATAGTATTTAAAGATCAGGTGTGTAAGTTAGTGATGATGCCTTGCCAGTGTGAGTTTGACCTTCAAAGGTCTAACCTTTTTTGTGGCTACAGTGAGGAAGTTTCCTGATTTATTTTTCCTTCATCTTCACTGGGTTGTAAACAAGGTGTATTTATTTTCTTGGTGACCAGTGAAACCCTGGCCATTTCCTCCCTAAGATGTTGTTAACCATGAGAGCTCTGCCTTCCATGTCTTAGATTGTCCCACTGAAAGAAATTTATAAACTTAGGACAGAAATCACATGTATCCCATATTTCATTTGTGCTTTTGAGATGGTTGCAAACATGTTTTTCTTTGTCTATACCAGTTTTATGATATTAAATAAATCTTCATTTCTTCATTCATCCTTGAAGACATCATTTAAGTTTACTCATTCACATACATGAGCCACAGTCAACATAATAACAGAAAGAAAGAAGAAAAATGATCAGGGTAATATACTTTGATGTACTGGAATTTAACTTCCAAATGTCTTGAAACATAAAATTTGAAGATATAATGGCCAGTCCACCAATCCTTAAAATAGCTTTTTAAGAGAAATACTGTGGGTTCCTGATATAATGATTGAGCATATGTATTTGCCTATCCTCTTTCCCAAGACCCTATTGAAATGGCCATAAAGAAGTAAAACAGGAAGAAGAAAAGAATAAATTTATGAGTAAAGAGAAAAGGGAAGAACTCATCAGTATACAAATGAGATCGATAAAGAGGAAAAAGCATATTGGCAGGAGAAGCATCCTTGATGATCTCCAGAAAGAAGGATTCCAGAGTCAGGGTTCTGGAAAAAAAAAAAAAAACCATAGGAAGGCTCTGAATCTGCAAGAATAGAGAGCACAGGTCAGAGGTGGACCTGAAAAGTTAGAACTTAATTAAAAATCTCTTTAA